TGGTCGCTCTCAAGTATGTCTGTACATGAGCGGACACCCCTAGGTCCGTGTGCTCACAGTAAGCAGTCCATCTCTCTCCCTGATTGGACGGACGCGAGGCAGCGGTCGCCGTCGTGATCCCCGTGTACAGGTGCGCTGATCACGGGCCGTCACTCCCCGCTCCTCAGCATCCCGGCCTCATCTCAGCCCGCTCCCTCAAGGGCCGGGGGCTGCGTGTGACCCCCTCAGGCAGCGTCAGTCCTGATGGATATTACAGTGGTGTAACTGCCTAAACTCACCTTGGGCTTCTTAGTGTTAAATAGATTGTTTACAAAAAAAAAAGAAAAAAGTAAATAAAAATAACCTGTTCTCCCTCCAGCCGACGAGACACAAATCAAACAACGAGTGGGCTGCAGCTCCCAACAGCAGGATGGCCAAGGGCAGCGCCGCGTCCCCCGGCCACCTCATGACGGAGGAGGGGGAGGGGCCGGCCGGGGGGTGCCCGGTGAGGGTGAAGGAGCTACCCCCGGGGGAGGAGGCCCGCCTGGTGACCCTGGGGTTCAAGGGCTACACAGGGCTGGTGCGCACACAGCCTGGGGGCATGTTGATGAAGGCCAGGTGGGTGTAGGCGCCCGAGGGCTGCCTGGCTGCTCCGTCGCCTCGCCGATCTCTGGCGTGATTGTCAGCGATTGTTGTTGTTGCAATCCTAGATTTGTTGCATTCGACGTGCTTGTCGCTTTCCAAACCGTGAATTCTATAGGGTCTTTTACAACTACCCTTATGACTAGGATTATTATATTCATTACAGTTATTTTAGTTATTTATGGTCATTACCTTTATCAGTTGCCACCCCAGTAGCGGAATCATCAACTATCATGATCATTATCAGGCATTATATCTTGAACCACGGTGTGAATAACATAAATACCATTATCGCTGTAATGAATAGTTAAGCAATTATTTCATCAGTACCATTACCTTTACCATTCTACAGTCTCTAAAATCTTTAAAGATATACTGTTGCTGTTATCAATGAGACTGACGGTGGCTGCTGTAATATCACGTATAATATAAGAACTAGTGAACCATTTGCTGATTATATAGTTTGAGGATGAGATCCATAAATATAATACATTAAAGTACTCTTCTTCACACTCTCATCTGCCTTGTTAGCCCCGTCATCCGCAACACCCTCAAAGAGGAACACGAAAATAAGCTAGCTAACAGAATAACAACAATAGACACCCACCCCCATGTAGGCGACACAGTGACACACCCACTTAGATCTACAACAAGAATGAATGTGGAGTAGTTCTCGCACCGGACGCGTTCATTTGGAGCAGCGAGGGAACAATGCGCCAAAACATAAAGAATCTAGTGCCTTGCATGTAACGTGCCAGCTGCTCTTTCTATGAATAATAATGAGAGGCTGAATGGGGCGAGAGCAGTGAGATCCATCAAAGAAGAGGCCCATTATGGGAGGCTCGACACACAGTCCGAACGTCACTCTTCCTCATTGAAGTGAAGCATGAATCAACGCAGCAGCCAGGGTAGTAGCTACTGCTGAACCATTCACGAGCCGGGGTTACAACTCTATAAAAAGCAATTCCTGGCTCATAGTAAAGGCGAGACAACTCAACCGTGTCAAATTTGCGTTTAGAGGCCACGTAGTACAAATGAGAAACAAAAGACGAGCGACATTTTAAGAGTTTTGTGTGTGTGTGTGTGTGTGTGAGAGAGAGAGAGAGTGTGTGTGTGCGTGTGCGTGCGTGTGTGCGTTTTAAGGCAAAGAATCCGAGCAAGAAGCAGAACAAATGATTAGTCAAACGAGCTAAAACCTCTGTCAAACATGGCGGTGACAGGCGTCCCAACCCAACCTTCCATGTATTTAATTATTGCCTTAGATACGAATAGACATTCCTAATGACAACGTTGCCTGACGTCTAATCAACGCAACAGGTCTTTTCGATGTAGTTAATTATGCAAATCTCCACATGCGTTAAACTGCCAGAACAGGTCCATTCAGCAGGGTTGTCGATTCAATAAATCCCCTTGCCAATCAGGATTTAAATGCTCCAGGACGAACATACAGGATTTTATAGACGTGATCGCCCCAGGCATCGAGGCGGCGGTTGAGAGGTTGCCAAGTCGCCGGGTTTTCAGTCGCCGCTTGTTCGTATTGCCATTAATATGATTAGTGTCGTTAACGCTACGCTTTGTCTTTGTTATCGGCGGCGCAGTTTTTTTTTTTTTTTTTTTTTTGTTATCGTTGAGGCTTGTTTATTGAGGTGGTCGTTTTATCGGGAGGTTTATTTTAATCACCTTTTTGGTGATTAAAGCAGTAACAGGATAACCATTATCGTTAAGATCAACACCGTCATCACCAACAGAAGGATCAAAACGTCAACACCATCGTCATCACCAACACCATCGCCCTCGCATCACCATCACATCATCGCATCATCATTAACATCATCACATCATCATCATAGCACCAACACCATCGCCATCGTCACAATCA